ATTTATTTATACATATAGGACTGGGTATAAGCGAAGTGTAAGGGTTTGTAAAAGGATTCAGCAGAGACAGAATGGGGAGCAGAACAGGCAGATTGAACAGGGTCACTGCTGAGGGGAGCAGCTGGCAGGCCAGGAACGGTCTGGCCAGGAGCTGTCTGCTGCACCATGTGAGTCACTGCCAGGGGCCAGGGATCGAACTCCCACTGAAGTGGCCTCTGCTAGCTTGCAGTGCTGTACTTTAACCCTCTGCACTACCAGAGAGGGCCCAGTTTAGATTTTTTAATATTTCACTATAAGTGAGATTATACAGTTGTTTGTCTCTTTTGCTTATCTCAGTACAATGCCCTCAAGTTCTGTCTATGTTGTCACAATGGCAGGATGTCCTTTCTCAGGGCTTTCTAACATTTAATTGTATAGATGTGAGGTGCATCTATCTTTTATGAATTATTGTTTCATCTTTCTTTTGCTATATACCCAGGAGTAGAATTGCCTAATCAGACAGTAATACTATTTTTAATAAAAAAAATTATTTATGCATACAAGAGCTGGGGTGCAGGCTAGAGGTGCTGGGTAATAGCTGTTGTAGCATCCATGAGGTTATATCTCATTGCAGTTTTTCCAATTCCCTCATATTTAGTGATGTGAAGCATTTAGTCACGTTAGTGCGTGATCATTTTATGTTTTCTTTAGAGAAAAGCCTATTTGGGTCTGCCCCTTTTTTTTTTTTTTTAAAGATTTATTTATTTGTACATACAGAACTGGGGTACAGGCCAGAGGCTCAGGGGCAGTGAGAGGCTTCACCAGAGATAGAGTGGGGAACAGAACAGGCAGATGGACGAAGTACACTGCTGAGGGGAGCAGCGGGCGGGTCAGGAGAGGTCTGCCACGCCATGTAGGATCAACTCTGGAGCAGGCAGGGATTGAACTCATGCGGAAGTGGCTTTAGCTTCTTAGTGCTGTGCTTTAACTCACTGCTCCACCAGGGAGGGCCCAGGGGTCTGCCCTTTTAAAGTGAGATTGTTTTTACAATTAAGCAGACATACAGATCTACTGAAATACACTGCTGAGGGGAGCAGCAGCGGAGACCAGGGGGTCTGCTTCACCATGTGGGTTAGTTCCCTGGAGACTGATAGAACTTGTGCTGCTGTGGCTGTGGATATGTTCATAGTGGTGCGACTTAACCCCTATTTTTAATTTTTTGAAGAAACTTCATACTGCTCTACATAGTGGTTGCATGTAATTACATCACCACTAACAGGACACAAGGTTTCCTTTTCTCCAAGTGTCACAAGCACTTACTGTCTTTTGTTTTCTTAGTAAAAGCTATTTTAGCATGTGTAAGGAGATATCTCATTGCGGTTTTTTTCATTTCCCTCATATTTAGTGGTTAAGCATTTATTCATGTACTCAGTGATTATTTCATATGTCTTTAGAGAAATGCCTATTTAGTTCTGCCCGTTTTAAAATCAGATTGTTTTTAAAATTGGGTTTTATGACTGTTTTACATATTTTGAATAGTAACTCCTTATCCAATATGGGTTTGTAAAAATTTTTTCCATTCTGTAGGTTGTCTTTTCATTTTTTGAATTGTTTCTTTTGCTGTGCAAACGTTTCAAAGTTCTATATAGCCCCATTTATTGATTTCTGCTTTTGGTGTCACATTGAAAAAAATCATTGCCAAAACCAACATTGAGCAGCTCTTCCCTACACGTTCTTGTAGGCGTTTCAAAGTGTCAGTTCCAGTGTTTATTCCAAGTAATTTTTTTTTTTTTGTGAGTAATGTTAAGGGTTCATATTTTTTGCTCTGAATGTGTTTATCCAGGTTTTCCCAGCACCATTTGTTAACCACTATCCTTTCCCTGTTGTGTGCTCTTGGATTCCTTGTTGAATATTTATTGCACTGTATAAGAGTTTTAATTCTGGCCTTACCTGTTGTGTTCCACTGGCCTATGCTTCTAGTTTTGTGCTGCCACCATACTGTTTTTATTTTCACTACGGTAGCCTTGCAATATAGTTTGAAATCAGGAAGGATGATACTTCTAGCATTGTTTAGGATTACTTTGGCTATTTGGGATCTTTTATGTTTTCATACACATTTTAGATTTTTTTCTATTTTTCTATCAAGAATGCCTTTGTTGTTTTGATAGGGATTGCAGTGAGTCTATAGATAAGGCTGGAGAGTATGGGTATTTTCACAATATTAATTCTGTTGATCCATAAACATGGTACATTCTTTCATCCATTTGCTTCTTTTTTGATTTCTTTCAGCAAAGATTGCAATTATCATCATACAGATTTTTTTAACATCTTTAAATTTATTCTTAAGTATTTTATTGTTTTTTGATGTTATAGTGAATGGGATATTTTGTTTATTCATCCTTAGTGTATAAAAATACAACTGGTTTCCATATGTTGCTTTTGTATCCTTCAACTTTACTGAAATTATTGATTAGTTCCAATGGCTTTATTGTTGAATCTTTAGGTTTTATATATAGGGAATCATGTCAAGTCACATTTTCTGAATATTACCTGGATACAGTGAGTACCTGGTCTGCTAGTGTCTTTTTTTAAAGATTTATTTTATTTATTTATGCATACAAGAGCTGGGGTGCAGGCCAGAGGTACATAGGTGGGGGTGAGAGTAATAGTGGGGAGCAAAACAGGCAGATTGAAGTAATACTGCTGAGGGGAGCAGTGGGAGAGACAGGAGAGGTCTGCTGTACCATGTGTGTCAGCTCCCTGGTGGAGGATTGAACTCATGTTTTAGTGGCTGCTGACAGCTCAGAGTGCTAAGACTTAATCCCTTGTGCTCCCAGGAAGACCCCTTAGTGGTACGTTCTAGAGAAAAGTCCTGGGCAGAATATCTCCATTTAGCAATATTTGTAATTAGGATAAAAGAAACAAAAGCTTTCAGACGATTGCAAGAATGGGTGACTTAAATCTAAACCTGTAATTATTATATTTTCTATTCTGTATTGTTTAGAAAACAGAGGTTAAAGAGATAAAAATAGAGAAGATTGCTTAAAAATTAAAGCCATTGATTTAGATCTCTATATGAAAGGTCAGTGTGTGGGAGATGAGAAAGGCACTAAAGCTATCAGAGTGTTCAACAAAAGACATTTTAGCAGCAGGACTTACAAAAAGCACATCAACTATTTATATCACCCACATCAAGTTGCTGGTCATTTCATTTATCAAAGAAAATAAGAAGTGAATTTTCTTTGGACATTTTTTTGGGTATAGTAATGATACAGTTTTGGAATTAGCTGTTAGAAACTATAATTAAAGCTGATTTACCATGTTCACTAATTATTCTATTTAGCTAGTTTCCCTGAAGCTTTATATAATTCTCCCTTTTACAAGCTCTCTTTCTCCCTACGGCACTCTGAATCCAGACAGGTAAATAACTGAAGTGCTTGGAAATCAATATATGGTAATATCTGTCAAACATAATTGCAAATGAACTTGAAAAAATTATTTTAAAAACTTTTCTGTACATTAATTAGGGTCAACTATTTGGCAATTTTAGTTCTACTCCCTGGGTTAGGAGATCATTTGGGTGGAAGGGAAAACTGAAGAAAAAATTGAAAAAGGAAACCTATTTAACAATGAGAATGAGGACAGTTATTTAGTCCCAATTAATCCCTTAATGTTACTGTCAGGCAGGCCAAATATCTGCCAACAGTGGTGATCCTTTCTTTTACCACTAGAGAGAAGTAGAGGGACCTGATGTTTAGAGTAGCAGCAAAACCCATTTCTTATTTTCTTTCTTCTGCCAAAGGGAAGTGGTTGTGGGCAAGTCTCATATTGCAGCATGTTAGTGCTGGCTATCGACACTCTTTCTTCTCTGGAATAACTATGAAAGGAATTGAAAAGAATTCCCTTTTCTCATGCCTAACACCAGCAGAGCAGGAACGAACCCATCTTCTTCCCAGAAAGCAGATTTCAGGACTTTTTCAGATGCCATGAGACTAATCTCCCATAGGGTGGGCTCCAGGGGAGAACAAAACAGGCACTACTAACGATGCTGACTCTGGGAACAAGATCAGTCAGTCCCCTGAGAAACAAACGTGGCTATTTTATCCCTCCTTAAACTACTTTCCTTAATTATACTTCATCTTTATTTTCTCTCTCCCTATCAAGCAGTAGCTGATAGTCAATTGAATATAGCTTAGGTTCTTATCATGACATATAGCGGAACACCTAGACATCAGGAAACCATGATTATGATTATTATTTGCATAGAATCCTTGATTATTTATATTGAAATCTCAGGTTCGCAATAGGCTGAATGGCCAGGATTTGCATCTTTGGAAACCAAGTGGAGTCTTTGTCCTCTTTCCAGGTTGCTCACCATTTCCTTTTCCACTTGTGGTTCCTGCCCAAGCCGCCTGCCCTCCTCCTAAGCTGACCAGAACCATGCACAAAACCAATTCCCAATAAATATCAACACTGAAGATTTAGCAAGTTGCTAACTCCTGTGGAGCTATCTTAAAAGGACGTTGTATATAAATGCAAAGTTTTATGGAGCCTCGGAGAACTCTAAGAACACTGTAAATATCCCTGGTTTAATTAGTAGTCTTGGAGTTAGGTAATGGTCTGTGGTTTCTAAGTTAGGTCTCGTGGGGTTTCTAGTCTTCAGGGGTTGCCTGCAACTATGATGTACTCATACACAATCTTCTTTCTCATACACCACATAAATCCTCTTTAGACCTTCCTATGCACCTACTCACAATTATTGTAACACACATGCAAATGAATCCCCAGTCTCCCAGAGCTAAAAAGAACACAATGCTTCAGTATGGGTCTCAATTCAGATAATTCCGGACTCAATTTTTTTCTCCTTGAATTCTAGTTCCCAGGTGGAAAAAAGAGAAGAAATTCCTTGATTGGTGTTGACTGATGCCCATTCTCTCCAAGCAGAGGGTGGACAACATGCTTTTGTAGTTGATCAGCTCCAATTCTCAGCATTTCTGATGCAGCTCTCTCACGGAGTTAGGTCAACCAGTAGGGGTTGCAAGCCGACTTGACAGGTTTGTTCTGGGCTGACGGCCATCGACTAGGTTCTCCAACCAGAGAAGGCACTTGGCGGAATCTACAGTAGGTGAGGCGCTCTCACCAGCTCTGGGGTAGCGATTGGAAGTTGGTTGCAATATTGGCGAATCTGAGCAACTGGCTGCTGCAGGAGATACCCTTTTGCCCCTGGAACACAGAACCAATAGTTCGTCTTAATGGGCAAGGCACTAGCAGGGAGAGAAGCGTCAGCCAACGGGGCCCAACCCCCTTTTCCCACAATTATGTCAGCCGGTCCAGCGTAAGGAGTCCCAGGTCCCAGCCCTTAGGCTTGCTCTCGTGGATAGCAAGGGAGAGGTGGGACCACAATTTTGGAAGTCTCTCCCCGAGGTCTGCAAGAATCAGTGGCGGCGGCCAGCGGCGAGAGAAGGCGGGGGCACGTGCTTGGATGTGGGTACTTGTGTAACCAGCTCCCCAGGCGCCAGCCCCGACAGCGCTCGGGCATAAGGCTCGTCTGAGCCTGCCTGTCCGCCGCCACCGGGAAGGCTGCGGGGTCCCGCCGCCCGCGCTGGGCGGGAGCGACCCGGGCGAAGCGAGCGAAGCACTTGCCTCGGGAGCTATACTAGGGGAGTGGGAATTTGGAAAGTTCCCCAACTAGGAGCACACGTGACCACCTCGCGAAAGTAGTTCCGACCGTGCCCCGGTATCCCTCCACCTCCTTTTGAGCACTCCTAGGTCTCGGCCCCGCCCACTCGCTGGGGCGAAGCTTCCTACGGTTCCGTACTTCCCACTCGGGCTCTGCAGCCCAGCGTCCAGCGTGTGCGGCGCGGCTGGCGGGGGGCGCGCTGAACCTGGCCCCAGGGCGATCCACCCAGCCGGGTTTTCTCACTGGTCCAAAAGGGGCGGGGCGAGGTAGCTGCGAAGGACCGAGCTTGAGTTCGACGCGGTGAACAGAACTGGAGCCTCTAGGGGGAGAGATGGTAGGCTCTCCAGGGTTCAAGGAAGGAGCTACGGGGCGCGTTCCACCCTTGGGGGCCCGCTTTCAGTCCACCGGGACAGTCGTCCTTGGAGAGCTAGGAACCCAGGGCTGATGTGCTCACACTTTACGCGCTTGGGCGGGAGCTTTCATTTTTAGGGCAAATAGGGCTAGTTGCCGGGGAAGCGGGAGGTGGGGCGGTGCGAGGGAGCCGGATGAGGTGATACACATTGGAGACACAATAGGGGGTTGTTCTTTGTGTTAAGACTGACACCTGAGGACCCGGGGAGGTGGGGGAAGGGAGGTGGGAATTCTCAGCAAAGGCTGCTGCAGGTAAAAACCCGCGTCTCACTGATCCCACAACGGCTCCGAAGGAAAGCGAGGGGTGCAGACCGTGCCGGGGAAATCTGGGGGCAGCGGGAGGGGGAGGGGTGCCCCTACTGCAGGGACCGTCCCAGCGTTGCCCTGTACACCGCCCAGCGCCGTCCCCCCCTCCCCCGCAGTCCTTTCCACCTGTGCGCGGGTAACCTCGGACTCCAGCCAGTGACACTCTTCAACGCACCCACCTCAGCTTTCACCTTCAGTTCCTCCCTGCCCGCCCGCAACAGCCCACACTCCCTCTGGCTGGGTGTCTGGGCACAGGCCGAGGCTTAGCACCTCCTGCCGCCCTGCGTAGCCGCAGGAGCAGCCGCGGCAAGTGCAGTTACTGGCGGGCTCTTCCGAACAAGCCCGAGCGAGCCCCGGGCAGCCACATTGGGCATGCTCAGTGGCGCCCGCAGGCCGGGGACTGGGCTTTCGCACTCGGCGCTCTCGCGACTGCCCCCTCCCTAGCGCCCCGGCTCGGCTCGGCCAGCCCGTCCTCGTCTCCCTCGGTGCGGTCCCGTCCGCCTCCCACCTCCCCCTGGAACTCCGGAGGCGCTCCGGCACCCCGCACGGCGGCCGCGGCGGCGGCGGCGGCGGCGGCGGAGGGGGCGGGCTGGCCGGCAGGCGGTGATGTGGCGGGACTCTTTGTGCACCGCGGCAGGATATGTGCTCGGACGTTGGGACGCGGCTGCGCTCAGTTCTCTCCTCTCGGAAGCTGCAGCCATGATGGAAGTTTGAGAGTTGAGCCGCTGTGAGGCGAGGCCGGGCTCAGGCGAGGGAGATGAGAGACGGCGGTGGCCGCGGCCCAGAGCCCCTCTCAGCGCCCGTGAGCAGCCGCGGGGGCAGCGCCCTCGGGGAGCCGGCCGGCCGGCGGCGGCGGCGACAGCGGCGACGTTTCTCGCCTCCTCTTGGTCTTATTTTCTAACCGTGCAGCCTCTTCCTCGGCTTCTCCTGAAAGGGAAGGTGGAAGCCGTGGGCTCGGGCGGGAGCCGGCGGAGGCGCGGCGGCGGCACCTCCCGCTCCTGGAGCGGGGGGGAGAAGCAGCGGCAGCGGCCGCGGCGGCTGCAGCTCCGGGGAGGGGGTCGGAGTCGCCTGTCACCATTTCCAGGGCTGGGGACGCCGGAGAGTTGGTCTCTCCCCTCCTACTGCCTCCAACACGGCGGCGGCGGCGGCGGCACATCCAGGGACCCGGGCCGGTTTTAAACCTCCCCTCCGCCGCCGCCGCACCCCCCTTGGCCCGGGCTCCGGAGGCCGCCGGAGGAGGCAGCGGTTCCGAGGATTATTCGTCTTCTTCCCATTCCGCTGCCGCCGCTGCCAGGCCTCTGGCTGCTGAGGAGAAGCAGGCCCAGTCGCTGCAACCATCCAGCAGCCGCCGCAGCAGCCATTACCCGGCTGCGGTCCAGAGCCAAGCGGCAGCAGAGCGAGGGGCATCAGCCACCGCCAAGTCCAGAGCCATTTCCATCCTGCAGAAGAAGCCCCGCCACCAGCAGCTTCTGCCATCTCTCTCCTCCTTTTTCTTCAGCCACAGGCTCCCAGACATGACAGCCATCATCAAAGAGATCGTTAGCAGAAACAAAAGGAGATATCAAGAGGATGGATTCGACTTAGACTTGACCTGTATCCATTTCTGGGGCTGCTCCTCTTTGCCTTTCTGTCACTCTGTCTCATAACGTGGGAGAAGGATGCGAAAATTTTCCGTAGTTTGGGTGACTATAACATCGAACCCTGGTCGGATTTCTAGGTCTTAGGTATTTCGTGTCTCATGAATGCATGCAGCCTAGGGTGTGTTCGGCTAGACCGAACTCTTGCCGGCTTGCAAGTGTCACGGTTCCGAAGACGGCTTTCTTCGTCGGTCTGTGGGGTCTTCCTCAGGGCTATTGTCCGTTAATACAGAATACAGTACACTGTTAGTGGATTAATGAGCTCGGTAATCCGGTCGCCTAAGAACAGAAAAGTAGACGCTTTGAGGTTCAGCATATTTCGATTAAATCTTGGCTTTAGGCCCTAGATCAAGGGTATAGATCAGATTAAAATGAAAATTAGTGCTGCACGTACGCATATTGCATCAGAATCTTGCAGTGATTGTTTTTAATTTCCTGGGTTGCATTGGTAGATTTTTAAAAAATGAGTTGTGAACTGATTTGCATAACTTTAAAAGGAGAATCATCTCATCGCCAACATACATGGTGCTCGTTTGAGAGCAAAAGTAGACTTGTGTGTTTAAACCTAGTTAATTAGAACTTTCAACTGCATTTAGGAAGTTTGAAATCAATAGTGCAGTAATAAACCTCACAGGGCGCTCTTCTTAGATCTTTGTTAAATTTGCCTTTTCCTCTCCTGTTGGGGTGATGTAGGATAGAGCAAGAAATTTGCAGTAAGGTGGCGTTTTATACTCAGTGCTCTTGTCGTCCATAATAGAGTGGAGATTGAGGGGTTTTTAATCTCAGATGATGTGTGGGTTCAGGGTTATTATGTATAGCAGATGGTGATTGCAGAGATTAAACTTAAGTTTTCACTTGAAATTTCAGTATTATAGTGATGCCAGAATTGCCACTCATCTCACTGAGGTTTCTGGTTCTCTGACACCTTTGGGTAGCTGTTAATTTTACTCTTGACTCTTGTAGAATGTCCAATGTAATTTACCAGTTAAAATCCAGAAATGGTGGCAAGAGTGACTTACGCCAGCTTCAGATTGTAGGGGGCTTAGTTTTATCTGTAGTGTTTTAAATGTACTGAGTCAGCTTGTAGAATAAGACACAAACTCAAGAATTTTAACTGTACAGTTTTGGTTGTCTAAAAGTTTGGTCTCTGTACTTCAAAGATAGTGGTTTTTGAAAGGCAGTAATCTTTGCAGTTTCAGGTATAACAAACTGGTTTTGATCAAAGATGGGGATGGAGACCTTTTTTTTTTTTTCCCAGAATAGAAAATATCAAAATAATTGAGATTTACTTGTAGGCAAGCATATAAGGCATGAAAAACAGAATTAAATTATTGGCCTGAGGTGACTGAAGCATTTTATTAAGGGATCTGTTAGAGACCAAAAATTTGGTGATATGAATTGTAGCAATCGACAGTATTTAGTTAAAGTTACATAATTGTGTATTAGTAATCTTAATGAAAGTTAATTTTTAACAAATGTAAGTAAACATTTTGCTTTAAAGGGTGATACTAAAGTGTCTATGTCCTAAAACTGGGGGTAGGTTTTTTTCCTTTGGAGAAGATGTTTTATAGCTCAAATGTTTTATTTCCTTGTATTATGTAGCTGCACAGAAGTGTGCAGAGCTAATTTTGCACAAATTTTTGTTGCGAAATGAAGATAAAAGTTACAGAAGAAGTAGCAGTACACTAAAGTTAACAGTTCTCTGTTAAAAGAATATTATTAAAGAATATTGGGAAATTTTTGAGATTGCATTAATTGAAAATTTTAGTAAGGCTGACCTTGATCTGCTTGTCCAGAGAATAATTAATTATGGAAAAACTTCTGATTTGTTATTTCAAAGGTAGTCAATTGTTGGTGTCAATTAATGCCAGTCATCTAGAATTACAGGTACATATTAATTAAATGTTACTCAAGTTTTCTTAAAAAAGTTAATTTGAAATACTTCTAGAATACTCTTTGGCAGATATATATTCATGATGTTTTTAACTTACCTATTACATGTAAAGTTTTCAGGTTTTAAGACTAATAATAATCTAGCAGGTTCTTAAATGTGAACAATAAGGTGATTGACAGTTTCTCCTTTGATTACAGAGTTTGTGTGTCTTTAATGAAATTCATGTGACTTAAAACTTTCTCTAGAACTTTGCTTATAGTTATGGAATGCATAGAAAGCGTTATCAAATTTTGCATCAAATGACTAATAACACTTAATTTCTAGAGTTGTGGTTTTATTGAGCCAAATCTTGATATGAAAAAAAATCTGTGAGGGAAAAGTCAGTGAAGGACTTGCTTTTTTGACTGTTGCACTTCCAATAATTTTGATATACCAAAGTACTTTGATTTGCTTGGTTTCACTTTAGTATTTTGTGTTTGTTGGGGGGAAAATTAAAATGGTCATTGAAGACTGTCTAAAGTAATCTGTTTCAGCAGCTACTCTGTTAAGAGTAAATTCCTTTATGAAAGTAGTGATTGGAATACTTTTTTTCTGACGAAGATTAACAATGAAGTGATTTCTCAGAGGAGAATTTTTTGCAAAATTGATTATTCTAACAATTTGTTGGTGAGGTTTACTCTTTTAATAATCTGCTGAACATGAGTCTCTAAAACCATTAGTGTCTTTAGATTTCATGGGAAATTTAGTGTTGTGTTTCTATTTTTTGTATCTTCATACTCTTCATGGAGCATATTTTTAATTTGTAGAGTGTAGTGTCAATTGAAGTTAACCGTATTATCTTAAGAAACCGTATTATCTCTTAAGATCAGGAATTAATGACTTTCTTGTGTGGTTTTAATATGTATTCAGGTTTTAGTTTGTTTTACACTGTAATGTATCTATTAAGTTGTATTTTTTTCCTGAACAACAGGACTGGGATACCTAACTGTTACATGAAAATTTACAAAGTTCATTTCCATAGAGCTTTATGTAAGCATAAAGCACACCTGAAAGGAAAGTAATTTACAATTTATATGACTCTTAATCTAAGGAAAAAATAACTTGCTGACCACTATAAAAGTTTATACAGTTGTACAGTCATTAATGCAATTTTACATTGCATATGATACAAATCATTAAACATAAAATATGGTGAAGTATTACCATGTTAATTTTAAATTTAGTTTCAGAAATAGTAAGGTGCTTGAGTGTATTACTCTTTAGAAATTTAACAACTGAAAGGTAGCTGGTGCTGTTGTAACTTTTATGTGGAAGAATATTACTTTTTGTGCTTTTTACTGGTAACTACATAAAATATGCAGACTTAATATGAAATTCCACCCTTTTTGGAAGCACATTTACAAATATGCTCATTTTGAAATTTGCCCCATTTACTATTTATTCATTTAGTGACAACTTGGTGCTTAACAATTATGAAATATTGCCCTCAATGACTTTTAATGGAGAAATATTTACTGTGGAAAATCAATTCAAAATTTCAGCATTAATTCACTGTTAGTTAATACTCTTTAAAAAATTTATACCTTAGCATTTTTAGTAAGGTGAACATGTAGGAAATGATTTAATATTGTGTATGAAATTGAAGTTAGTAGAAAGTAGTTTAGAAGTGTGTATGTGTATTACTGGTTTTTGCTGAATTGAAATGTTAGACCTTGGCAGAGTTGTAAGAATTTAGCTTCCTTAAGGTGCTCTTGATGATAGTATAAGAAATTGATTTGGTACCATATTTTTTCCCTTTATTTATTTCAAATCTGCTTTCCGTTCATCTTCCATTTGTTAGATACAGTGGTTTATATTAGCATTAGAGAATTCTTTTGAGGCCTATAATTTTAAAAAAAGGTGTTAGCTTTTGTTCTAAGGATACATTTGTATATACTTATGAGATTCAGTTCTGTTTTACCATTTATTATCTGCTTGCTTTGGAATCAGTGTAGTTACTATCAAAAATATCAGTAATGTTGAAGTTATACTGAGTAGTCTTAAACTGGAAAGGATTTGGTGAACAAAATGATATCCTTTATTATATAGGTCACATTATAGCAACATGCCTTCTTTCTTTGGTGATAAAGTATTTTGGTTTGTGAATAATAATTCATTCTCTTTGTAAGTATTGACTATATATACTTACTAATGTAAAATATATTCAGTTGTCAAGAAAGGCGAAATTAGTATATTGGTTTAGACGACTCATCTATTCCCTGATTTTTCATTTTCTCCCCACTGTTTATAGAACAGGTATTGGCACTATTTTCATTTAAAATAATTTGTTCTGGAATTAAAAAGCAAAACTGTTGGAAAATATTAATACATTAATCCACATTTAGGTGGAAAAAATAATAAGAATAAACAGAATTTAGGTGAATTAGTGTTGCATGGGAAGTTTTTATTTAATAAAGTATATGTAAAGGCAGACTCACCTCTCTTGCATCATTTTGCATTAGGAGATTGATAGACAATATCAGGGAAATATTGTTGTTGGTTTTCTGAATATTGACAGATAGCTACTATGACAGCACCTGCCAGCAAAAGAATTTTCTTGTGTAAAGTGGAAAAGAACATGTATTATATTTTAAGTGTTTAACCATTATCAGTAGTCATCACTTCAAATAAGGTCAGTGAATCTAACGTATGTGTGATTGAATATTCTGTGTGTATATATGTAAGTAAATACAAGCATACTATCATCATTTCTAAAAAGCAAGTTTGGTGAATCTTGTTTCATAATTTTCAAATAGGATAGGACTAGATATTTAAACTACTGTAAAATAATTGAGTATTGTATCTCCACATTGCACATGTATTATTTCATTTTAGATTTTAGGGTGGTGGAGTTGACTATAGACCCAGATTGCTTGAGTTGGAATTGGGCTTTTTGACTTAGTATCTGGATGACTTGGAGAGTAGGTCATAGTCTTTCTCTTTACATTGTCTGTCTCAGTCTACTTTATCTGTAAAGTGGGGATAATGTACCTATCCATGTGAAGTTTTTTGACGAATAAATG